GCGTTCTGGGTCCTCAGGGCCACACGTGGCACAGACCACACAGCAGCAGAGTTAAAATAAATACTTCTGTTTACTTTCACAACCCCCTGAAGATGCTTTTACACACACAATCTCATTTACTCCTCAGAGCTTAAGGATCAAGAGTATCAATTCTGGCACTGGATGTTCTGGACATAAATACCACTCACTAGTCCTGCCTGGATGACTGTGGGCATGAGATACCTGCACCAGACATAATCTTTCTGTACCAGTTTCCACATTTGTAAAGTGGAAATAATGCTAATACCTGCCTAGAGGGTTGCTGTGAGAACTAAATGGGCTTCGTAATATAAAGTACTCAGAAAAGTACCTGGCACACAAAACATACATAATATTAGTATACAATTCACAGATTCTACTAAGCTCAATAATGCAGTAAGTAGAACATGATAATGAAAACAGAAACCTAAGGACAATAAAGCTGCACAGCCTGTCTCAGGTCCCTCAGCTAGTAACTGCCCCCCGCCCCCCGGCCAGTGTTCTATGCAGCCCTAGCACACACATTTGTCCTAAGAAAGAAAAAATGCTTATGTGGAATTCTGGTAAAATTCATGCATATTTCTCATTCACTTAAGCAGCTGTTTAAAAAATAAGCTCATTTTTAATTACTGATCTTAAATTTTCCATGTATTAAATTCCTTCATTGAGGAACAAATTACCTGTATGGCAAATGCTCAGAAATATAAGGGAGTCTTTGGTTCAGGACAAAGGGACAAATGCCCTGCATGGGAACTCCTCAGGATTGAACACATCCAGACATGGCTCAGGTGGGCAAGACAGTCAGGATGGTGGCCAGGGCCTGGCAGGAATCTCACACGAGGAGGAATGGGCTGGCAAGCCCCAAGCATGTGGCCTGCAGATCGCAGCTGCCGACAGGGAGTACACAGTCCATGTTTTGTTCAGAAAAACACCCTAACAAATGGCCTGAAGCAAATCGTGGGCAAACTATGCTGTCTTCAGCTATGCAGGCTGCTATAACGAAATACCACAGACATGTGGTTTCTAAACAACAGAAATTTATTGCTCCTAGTTCTGGAGGCTGGAAGTCTGAGATCATGGAGCCAGGTGTGGGTCTCTTCCTGGTCACAGCTGTCTTCATTGTGTGATTACACCAGCAGATGGCGGTCAGCCTACAGCCAGACAGGCTGTACTGAGGAAGCACCAGAAGTCAAACCTAAACACCAGCAACTCGTGTTAAGTTTCCACACTACCTAAGAAATAGCACAATTACAGAATCAACAACAATAAGGCATATAAGGATGAGGTTAAAAGGAGACCAGAGAGTGTGTCATGAGCTCCATTCTGTCATGACCAATGGGGCCAAAGGTTTATTGGCAGGTCAACAAAAGGTCAAGAATCTCAACATCACAAGGCTCATTGGGGGAACAAACACTCTGGGGCTCCATTCTGGCAGGAACCCTCAATTTGCCTCACTCTGCAAAGACAAACCATCCAGCAAAGAGGCACTGCCAGACCTCCCATGACCTGTGCTGAGCCCCTACTGTGCCCAGCACCACTGACTCGGAACACAAAGTGCATCGCAGATTTGTTGTTAACACATGGAAATTCCACAGGAGAGGTTTCCTACTCGGAAAAACCAAGTGCTAGAAGGGTCTAGCACTTCTCAACCATGATTAACTCCTACTTTTCAGAAAGAGGGTTAAGACTTTCAAAGATCTGAATGGCACTGCTCCACAAATTTGCACAACCCATGCTAATACCAGATGGCTTAGAACCAGGAGAATCCTAAATTAAATCCTCTACTTTGCATAACATGTCATCTACAGCTACTTTTAAATTATATTTGACAGCCTCTCAGATTATTTGTCCTGAAGGCACAACTGCTGGCTCATTAATCTCTCCTGATCTCTTGGCAAACTCTTTGTCACAGGAGTGAATAGCTGCCCCTCCCACACCAGGAGTCTATTATCACAGCTCCTCATTCCAGAGCCCAGTAAAGCACAAGGCATTCTGTTCAGAGCCACTCAATAGCGGAGCACCCCACAGACTTTGAGCTGGCTTCCAGTTCTAGGCAGTGGGCTCCTTTTCTTTGTTAGGAGAATTTTCTTTTCTTTTTTGTTGATTTTATTTACTTATTTTTAGAGAGAGGGTAAGAGAGGGAGAAAAACATCAATGTGTGGTTGCCTCTCAAGCACCCCCTACTGGGAACCTGGCCTGCAACCTAGGAATGTGCCCTGACTGGGAATTGAACTAGCAACCCTTTGGCTCGCAGGCCCGTGCTCAAGCCACTGAGCCACACCAGCCAGGGCTGTTTGGAGAATTTTCATTAAATGAAAAACTTTAAAATGCAATGTAGCGTGAGAGACATTGGAGAGAAGTTGGAGCAGACATACCCTGTCCCCTTCCCAGGCATAACTCAGGATACATTTGTTTTTTTCCCAGCTTTACTGAAGTACAGTTGACAAATCATTGTATAAATTGAAGGTGTACAAGCTGATGTTTTGATATATGTATGGTGAGAACACTTAAGATCTACCTGCCTCTTAGCAAATTTCAATATACAATACAACATTGTCTCTAGTCACCAGGCTCTACATCCGAACTTATTCATCCTAACCGAAAATGTGGACGCCTTGACCACCACCTCCTGTCCCCGAACCCCAGCCCTGGCAGCCATCTTCTCACCCTCTGCTTCCATGAGTCGGGCTATTTTGACTGCACACAGAAGTCAGACCATGCAGTATGTATGTCTGTGTCTGGCTTATTTCACTTAGCAAAATGTACTCCAGAGGATATACACATTTTAATCAACCCTTTTAAAAGAGGCAATAAAATGTATCTACTATCAATTTTAAAGTAAAAAACAAACTTACTGCTCGATTCCATACACCCCAGTCACCTGTCATTTGTCATGGCTGTTTCTCCTCAGTGATTACTCACAGAAAGTGAAATTTCAAACCCCAACTTCCACCTCAAAAGCTGGAACTAGAAGTTTTGTCATGGGAGGTATACTTAAAATCCATGTTCTCACTAAATTCTGGTAAAGCAAACACACTTCCTACCTTTTAAAAATGTTCTTCACCAATCAGATTGCCAAGAAAGTGTAACTAACACAAGTGTAACTAGCTGTCTGCACCTTCCTTTCACTCTGCTGAATTTAGCCCAAAACGTAAAAACTAAGCCAAAAATAGTCCCTCTTGGTTAATGACAATGGGAATGCTAAATCATGTTTAGTATGACCTTGAATACTTTAGTGGGCACATGGCCAGACACCATCTGAGGGCATCAGGCATATTCCTTGATTTGGAGTCATTCCCGACATCCTGAGGTTACAGCACCATCTCACACACAAGGTCTGCCCAGAAAAAGTCCAGCCATTGTGTTAGTTACTATTAACGAGAACAGTTTGCGCGACATCGACGTAACCTGGCAGCCAAGGACAGTGGACTGGAATATGCATGCGTGAACGATAGCAGCTTTGCTGGACTTGTCGTCAGTGGGGGTGATAGACTCTGTTGAGTGAGAACATGTATTGTGTGGCCATCAAAGTCAAATGACTGAGTAGAGCAATGAGTCTGCATTAAATTCTGCATTAAGCTTGAACATTCCTCTACAGAAACTTCAGATGATTTGGGAGGCCACAGCTATGGGCAACTGGTGATTGGCAGCTTCATCAAGACAATGTGCCCTCTCACGCATCACGTCTCATGCAGTTTTTTAGCAAAACATCGCATCACCCAGGTGACTCAGACCCCTACAGCCCAGATTTGGCATTTGGTGCCTGCAACTTCTGGTTTTTCCCAAAACTAAAATCACCTTTGAAAGGGAAGAGATTTCAGATCCTTGGTGAGATTCAGGAAAATATGATAGGGCAATGGCTGGTGACTGGGAGAACTGTGTGCAGTCCCAAGGTGCCTGCTTTGAAGGAGACTGAGGTGTCATTGTCCTGTGTACAATGTTTCTTGTATCTTCCTCAGTAAATGCCTCTATTTTCCACATTGCATGGCTGGATACTTTCTGGACAGACTCTACATATGTATGTATAGATGTGTATAGATGTGTGTATATACGTAACTAGGGTCTCGTGGCCACTCTGGGACACCAGGCGCCTGGCTAGGCTGTTTGTATGCAGATTTTATCTGAGGACAGCAGGGAGGTCAAAGCTGCAGATCAACTGGCCAATGGGGCCTGAGGTCCAGGGTTTTCTAGGCCCAAAAAGAACATCAAGAATGTTGGAAAACCACCAGCTTAAAAAATTAGACTAACAGAGCTTTCAAGAGGACCCAGCTAAAAACACAAAGCTAGAACCAACAGATACCTTTTGTGTTTTTATCTAAATTTCCAACTTACAACAAAAGTATCTGGTAGATTAACTCTCAGAAATATCCTCTCCTACTCTGGTCATTTGTGACAGTGACTTCAACTGTCCCTGCTGTATCGTGTACTGTGCCCATCCTGGCACTGTGCAATGCACTTTATAAAATATGGCTCTCAGTAACTCCTGGAGTCCCAATCACCCCTTTAGAGGGAAGGCACAAGGCCTGCAAAGCTGACCAAGCTGCCAGAGTCCCCAGCAGGAAAGGAACAGAGCTGGAAAGTGAACTCAAACCTGACCTCGAACCCTGCCCAGTGCTAACACTGCTCAGTCTGGATACTAGGACTTCCCAACACCTCACGTGTAAAACACAGAAATGTCAGGGTGACACCCATGAAACATCTGATTCTACAGTGACTTCCTCCCGCTACAGTATGAAAAAGTCGGTGTCCCAAGAGCAAGAAAGAGATTCCTTCGGTCCAGTTTTGTTTTAAGTTCATCATGACCTTTATGCCTAGTTTCTCCTCTATCCCCCAAACCAAATGTTAACTATCTTAATTATTCCATGACAAGGCACACAAAACACTAAACAACAGAAATTTAAGAAAAATGTTTCTGTTCTGACTTCTGAGATCTAAGCATCCAGTCTATCAGGACAGGTCTGTTTAATAAGCCCGAGCATTACCTTGACGTTTTCGAGAAGAGCATCATCTCTGCCTAAGCCAGGGCCTACAACCAGGGCATGCAGTCGGGGCAACCACTTTTCCACTTCATGAACGGCATCAGGGCTGTCGCTAAATAAGGAAAAGAAGGGCAGGTTGGTTTAAAATTTCACTTATTTGTTTATTAATGAAACTACAGATTTTCCCAGTTTCCTTTTCCTGTTCCAGGATCCAAGCCAGAACCCCACCCTGCACTTGGACAGCACCTCTCGTTGGTCTTCCCTGTACAGTGGTTCACCTTTTAACACCCCAACACAGATGTTTAGCTTTCAACATTGAACTGCCTTCCAGGGCATTATGCTAAGTCAAAGACAAACATCGTACGATCTGTTATATGTCAAATCTAAAAAAAAGAAAACCGCTTGTAAATGCAGAGAACATACTGGCGGTTACCAGAGGAGAAGAAGGGGAGTGGGGAGTGAGGGTGGCAGCAGTGGGTAAAAGGGGTACAAATTTATTTATGTATTTATTTATTTATTTTTAAATGGAGTGTGGATATATGCTACAATGAGAATGAAGCTCAAAAATGTTATGCTGAGTGAAAGAAGGCGGACACAAAAGACCACATACTTCATTCATTTGAAATGTTCAGAAAAGGCAAATCTGTATAGACAGGAAGATTAGGTTGCCTCAGGCTCGGGGTGGTAATGGATAGGGGGTTCTCTTTGGAGTGATGGAAGTCTTCTAAAATTAGATTTTGGTTATAGTAACACTTTGGTACATGCACCAAAAATCATTATACAATTAAAATGAGTGACTTCTTCAGTAAGTTATATCTCCATAAAGCAGTTACACACATTACAAATAATTAATTAATGAGAGCAATGGTGGAGTGACACAGAGCCAGACGTTAAATATTCAAGGAATGATCCAGGGATCTGACACAGCTGCCATGAGGAGGAGGAGTGGGCACCATAGTCTGACGGTGTGAGTTCCAAGGAGCTGGAGGTTTTAGCAATGAGAGAGGGGCAATGGTCTGAGAGGAGCCATGAGGAACAAGGAGGATGCACATCCCACCTCTAGTCCCAGTGGTACGTGAAGGGGACACAAAGAAAAAGCCACCTGTACTGGAAGGGCTTGAAGGGGAAGCCACACCCTCTGGGAGTAAGCAAACAAGGTAAAGGACGAGAGGCATGGGCAGGAAATAAGATGGAAAAATGCTCACTTATGGGAAATGGCAAAAGACCAGTCTGGCTGAACAGAGTACCAGTAAGGGAATAATATGAGAGAAGCAGAGACATATTCACTGTGATAAAACTCAAGCATCAGACTCTCTACTTGCTGTGGCCCTTCCAAGGCCCTGGGAGAGGCCTTAGCAATTTACTCCTGTGGTCCACATGCATCTGTACAATCTGCAGAGATGAGCGGAGGACTTGGGTCTCATGAAAGCTAAGTCATCATAGAATTTTCTTCCCATCAGAAATAGAGTCAATAACGCAGAGTATATAGCTATAAATGTACACTTTTTCCTCCTTAAAAAAAAAAAAAAACAAGGCTCATGAAAAAATTTTAAACACATTATAATAAGACATTATGGTTAATTTCAAAATTATCTTGGCCAGCTGTTTCCACTGCACAGGAGTGGAAGTAACAGTGCAGACTTCACGCACTTACGGACTGTGCGCACATCAGACACTGGGGGGTCATCTACAAGACTCGTGAGACTGGCCCCTTTAAAGCATTAACAGTGCCCTCTTTTAGAACAAGACCTGGCAGCTGCACAGAATCTTGTTGTTCTTCACAACTTTCCTGTTTGTCATCTTGTTTCTTAGACTCCTAAAACCCACTCCATAAGGCTTTGTCCCCGACAAGTTGCCCTTGTCAAAAGCACCAATGACCCTATACCATGTAATCCAACCACCCACCTCAGTCCTCATCTCTGACTACAGGGACACAGGCCCTTCCAGAACAGTCTGCCAACAGTTCTTCACTCAACTCCACAACAGCCCCCTCTTCCACCACCTCACCCATCTGCTTCCAAAGGGGTACTCCCTGCCTTCATGCACTCCTGTGTGGTCTCAGCTTTGTCTCTTGGCTTTAAACACCATCCACACATTAACAACTCCCAGAATTACACGTTCCCTGACTGCCCAACTCCTATCTGACGCTTACCAGCCATGTCTGCTTGGACATCTAACAGATAACTAGAAACATATCCCAAACCCAAATCCTGACCATCACCTCCATCCCCAGGTTCCCAACATCAGTAAATGACAACCCGCTCAGGCCAAACTCTGGGTGGCATTCCCAAGTCTCTTCTTTCCCATATACCACTGGTCAGCAGCTTCGGGGCTGCACTCTTCAAAGGTACCCAGGACCTGACACACTTTCCCATTCCTATCCCATCATGTGATCACCAGGATATTTACAACAAGCTTCCTAGTGGAACCCCTGCATCCGCCCTGGGCTTCAAAAGCTTATTCTCAACACAGTAGCCAGATGAGCCTTTTGAAACAAGAAGGGTCCTATCCCTCCCCTGCTCAAATGCTCCAGCAGCCTCTTTCTCATTTATGTGAAAGACAAAAGCCTTACAATGACCCCCATAACCTGCAAAGCCTGGCTCAGAACCTCTGGTCACCCCAACCCATCCTGAGCACCCAAGTGCTCCCCAATATACCTGCAGCATGAGCTCTTGGACCAGCTCTTCCAGTCTGCAGAACTCACTCCCTCACCATCTTCAAGCCTTTATTTGAATGCCCCTTGCTGTATCACTGCCCGAGACACCCTATTAAGACTGCACACACACGGGACACGTACCACCACACGCACAGCCAGCATTCCATCCCTTCCCTGCTCCCATCTACCCTTGGTGCTTATCATCATCCCCTGACACACTATTATCTCAGCTGTCTGTCAGTCTCCAGAGTTGTGTTGCCCAACAGAGGAGATACTAGCCACATGTGGCTTTTACTTTAATTAAAATTCAAGTAAAAACTCAGTTCCTGACTCCTACTGGCCACATTTTAGGTGCTCAGCAGCCACAGTGCTGGACAGCACCAAGGGACAGCATTTTCATCATCGCAGGAAGTTCTGGGGCACAGACGCAGGCGTTTCTGTCTGCTCGGTTCCATGCTCTCCCTGTGGAACCCAGGACAGGGCCTGCACAGAGGATCTGCTGAACGAGTGAACACTTCTGTTACTGCCCGACAGACCCCTGGTTCCGGCCACAAGTGCACTGTGCACAGGCAGGCCCACAGACCTCTCCTGGGCCTAGGAACCTCCAGACATTTCTGACAGCCCACAGGTGCTAGCCCTGGGCACCACGTCACCCTGGTATTCAGATCTTATCCCATGCTGCCACACACGACTGTCTGTCTTCTCCTGACCACAGACAATGGGCTCGTTTCACAGTTTTCTTCTTTCCTCTGAAACAATCTACCTGCCAACTCTCAGCACAGCAGTAACTTAAAGGCTCTTAGAGAGTCATTGTAAAGACACCACAAGACCAAGGAGATTGGTTGCAAGTAAAGCACCCCATGTGCAGCCCAACTCACAGGACCGGGTGAACAATCAGCTCCGGGCTGTAGGACTTGATCACAGGTGCGGCCTCCCGGGTACAGAACACATGGGATAAATCTGCACCCTGAGAAACAAGTAGAAGAGGCTGACTTAATGTGGGACATTCTCAAGAGACACCCAAAGTGGTTTCAGCAAGAGCCACTCATTCACCACAGGACACGTGGTGTTCAACCATTCAAATTACAGAGCACTATCCATAAAAGAAAAATACCCAACTGTAGCAATTGAACTATAGCTAGGAGGCTTTGAAGACATAACCTGAGAAAAGGCCAGAAATAAAGGCAGACTTTTGCTGCTCCTCAAGAGGCAGGTCAACCCAGACCAGTTCAGGCTGCCTCACCTATGAAGCTCACGGGAAGCAATGCGGCCATGGAGCTGAGCACATGTCACATTAACTGTGCTAATGGGTGGTCAGGACTTGATCAAAAAGCATGAGCAACTGCCTAAGTCAAAAGATGCCAACTGCTTAAGCTAGGACTGAAAAGGCATCCCAGGCTCATTTTGGTAAAGTATAATCCTAATAAAACTTCATTTTTAAAAGAAGTAAATTTCAAGTTATTTTATCACTACAAAAGTGGTCAGGGTACATTTAAAGATGTTTCTCTTACCCACAATTACCTGAAGATGTTATGTAGATTTCTATTGGAAAACATATGCTTCAATCACATTTAAATAATCCAACTCTTCCCAATAAACAAAATGTAAGTAAACATACCACTTTGAGAGCTGAAATTGCTGCAAAATAAGGGGCTCCAGTGTACCTAAAAAGAAGATATTTACAGTCAACTTCTGAGAATGAGACAAGCACACCAGGTTTATCAACAAACTATGCAGACATCAAGCACCCAGATCAGGACCAAGCCCTTAGTAAGTGCTCAGTAAACATGCAATAAACATGGATCAGAACCAGAAAAGTCAGCCTTTGACATAAGACCTTTATACTATGTCAAGAGAGGCAAATTCTGGCTTTCTGTGACTGCGATCTCCTGGTAATGGGTACGTTCAAACTGAAGGTTTGCAGTGATAGTTTTAGCGGTTCATATAGATGTCAAACTTATCAAATTTTTTATCACCTAGACGGCAATAAAGTTGTTAAAGAATAATCTCCTAGTATGAAATAGTTTGGCAAGGTTGCCAGGTTCCTATTAACCAAAAACAACAACAAAAAGATAAATAGCATTTTTCTATACTAAGAATAACAGATCAGAAAATATGATAGCTTCTACAACATTGGCAAAAACCATAAAGCAGCTAGGAATTAACTTTATAAAACAATAACTCTGTGGGGAAACTTTTCAAACCTATTAAATATATTAGATGTACACTGGATGAGATAACAATATCATGATGATACCTCTCTAGATTAATACACAGATATAAAAAGTATCAGAAATGCATAAAACTTCAAGTAAAAGAAAATGCAAAAGCAGCTCAACAAATTTAAGGCTTTGTTAGCAAGGAAGGTGGGTGAGAATATTAAGTTAGGGGAAAAAAAACAAAAGCTGACAGTTTAAAAAGACAGTGCAAATTTACTGAAGGCATCTGCCAGGAGAGTGGGTGCTTGATTACGGGATCAGTCAGAAGCCGGAGCACCCAGCACCGGACAGCACCCGAGGAGCAGGGTCAGCTCTCCAAGAGCAACAGTAGGCACAGGCGATGGTCACTTTGGTGTAGGGTCACACAGAGGCTCGCAGGCCAAACAAGAACAAACTCTCACTCCTCCCTCTGGCTTCTATCCTATTGTTCCAGAATGCTCGTAACTCTACTTTTAAGCACAGAAAGGAAAACCCTTGAAATTAGCATCAGATGGTGACTGGAACTTTTATGTCAATTCCAAGCAGTGAAAAGTTTTTCTATCCCAGGAAAAACAAACTGGGGAAAATGCAGAGTGCACTCTGCACACCCAACACTGTCCTGCAGAGCAGGGTCAACAACGTGCCAGAAACACCACAGGACAGGGCATGCCACATACACACACACACTCACTCCACAACATGAACTCAACAAGCTTCACCACCAAGAGAAATACACTAAAATAACAGAAAACAGCTTGCCTACTTGAGAGCAAAGGCTACCGATAACCACAGGGTGTGAGGGGAACAGGTGCTCATTGAGGCAGCTCACAATAGTGCAATTCTGGAGGAAGAACAATTTGCAATGTTGATCAACATGAAAAATGTCTATATACTCTGCTCCAGTAAAAATTCTTCCAGGAATTTGCCCTGGCTGGTGTGGCTCAGTGGACTGAGTGTCGGCCTTCGAACTAAAGAGTTGCTGGTTCAATTCCCGGTCAGGGCACATGCCTGGACTGTGGGACAGCTCCCCAGTAAGGGACATGTGAGAGGCAACCACACACTGATGTTTCCTCTCCCTCTTTTTCTGCCTCCCTGCCCCCTCTCTAAAAATAAATTAAAAAATTTTAAAAAATCTTCCAGGAATTGATCCCTCAATTATAACCAGATGAGTACACAGGAAATATATAGAGAGGGATGTCTACAGATATATTGTCAATTAAAAAAAGGAACAGAGTTAACCACTTGCCTATCAATAGGGACTTGGTTAAATAAATTATTGCCCATCTGTACAATGAATACCATATCCACTTACCCATTTATAAAGAATCAGATTATAGGGCTTCTGGACAAGATGGAGGCATAGGTAGATACACTTTACCTCCTCAGACAACCAAAAAAAAGATAACAAATTTAAAAACCAAAAATAACCAGAGCTGACAGAAAGTCGAACTGTATAGAAGTCTGACAACCAAGCAGTTAGAGAAGAAACATTCACCCGGGCTGGTAGGAGGGACAGAGACGAACAGCTGAGGCAGAAAGAACTTGCAGCAAGGCAGTGGCTGGCAGACCAGGTGGTCCCACATTTGCATGTGGATAAACTGGGAGGGACAACTGGGGAGCGAGACAAACCGCACAAATCAGGGTTCCAGTGTGGGGAAATAAAGCCTCCAAACCACTGACTGAAAACACCTGTGGGAGTTGTGGCAGCGGAAGAAACTCCCAGCCTCACAGGAGAGTTTGTTGGAGAGACCCACAGGGTTCTAGAATGTACACAAACCCACCCATCCAGGAATCAGCATCAGAAAGGCCCAATTTGCTTGTGGGTAGTGGGGGAAGTGACTGAAAGCCAGCAGAGAGCGGAGCAAGCGGCATTGTTCCCCCTCCGACCCCCACCCTGCATACAGCACTACAACACAGCAACATGAGTTGCCTCACCCTGGGGAATACCTAAGGCTCTGCCCCTTACTATGTAACAGGTGTGCGGAGACAAAAACTATGGCACAAATGAAAGAACAGATCAAAGCTCCTTAAGTGATGAAGAGATAGCCAACCTATCAGATGCACAGTTCAAAACACTGGTAATCAGGATGCTCACAGAATTGGTTGAGTTTGGTTGCAAAATAGAGGAAAAAATGAAGGCTATGCAAAGTGAAATAAAGAAAAATATACAGGGAACCAACAGGTGAAGGGAAGGAAACTGGGACTCAAATTAATAATCTGGAACAAAAGGAAGAAATAAACATCTAACTGGAACAGATGAAGGAACAAGAATTCAAAAAAATGAGGACAGGCTTAGGAATCTCTGAGACAACTTTAAATGTTCCAACATCTGAATTACAGGGGTGTTAGGAGAAGAGGAAGAGCAAGAAATTGAAGACTTACTTGAACGAATAATGAAGGAGAACTTCCCCAGTCTGGAAAAGGAAATAGACTTCCAGGAAGTCCAGGAAGCACACAGTGCCAAAGAAGTTGTACCCAAGGAAGCACGCACCAAGGCACATCATCATTACATTACCCAAGATTAAAAAAGAGAATCTTAAAAGTGGCAAGAGAAAAGGAGACAGTTACCCACAAAGGAGTTTCCATAAGGCTGTCAGCTGATTTCTGAAAAGAAACTTTGTAGGCAAAAACGGGCTGTAAAGAAGTATTCCAAGTCATGAAAGGCAAGGACCTACATCCAAAATTACCCTATACACCAAAGCTTTCATTTAGAATGGAAAGGCAGAAAAAGTGCTTCCCAGATAAGGTCAAGTTAAAGGAAATCATCACCAAGCCTAAGGGCTTATAATAAGTTATAATAACGTTAATATAATAGCATTATAATAAGTTATATGAAACGCTAAAGGGATTTATCTAAGAAACTGAAGATGATCAAAAACTGTGAACAGTAAAATGACAACAAACTCACAACTATCAACAAGTGAACCTAAAAACAAAAGCAAACTAAGCAAACAACTAGAACAGGAACAGAATCACAGAAATAGAGATCACATGGAGGGTTATCATTGGGGAGGGGGAGAATGGGAGAAAAGGTACAGGGAATAAGAAGTATAAATTGTAGGTACAAAATAGGCAGGGGGAGGTTAAGAATAATATGGGAAATGGAGAAGCCAAAGAACTTACATGTACGGCTCATGGACAGAAACTAAGGTGAGGGAATGCCGGAGGGTGGGGGCATGCAGGATGGAAGGGAATAAAGAGGAGAAAAACATGGGACAAATGCAATAGCAAAATTAATATATTTTTTTAAAAAGCAGACTATATGAATCAACATGGAAACACAACGTAAAATAAAGAGTAGATTTTTTTTACTCTTTAGTGCCTTTTACTCAGAGGCACAAGTAAACTCTAAATGTTAACACGTTTATTTCCCTTATTAAAAAGAGTATTTGCCATCATATTGGGTAAAGAAATAAAATCTAGTTACATATTATTTATAATAAGCATACCTAACTACATAATAAACTGTTAAAAATATAGGGCTAAGCAAAGAGCACACAGAATGCAAGCAGAAACAGAAATACTAACCAAGGTCAAATTTAAGTCAAAGGCAATAGGTGGACAAAAGGCAACAAGTGTGGACAAATTATGAATCTTTATGTGTTAAACAACATAGCAGCAAAATATATAAAACCAGATGAGAGATCAGTCCTTAAAAAAAGCTAGGATCTGTGAAATTTCATAAATGACTTCCAGGAATATCTTTAAATTAACAAAGTAAATGAAGCAGATGCTGAGTGTTTTCACTCTGACTGCAAAAGTAATACATGCTTATGGTATGAGTCTGGTCAGTATAGAAAAGTACAAGATAAGAAAAAACAGTCTCACCACCGCAACTACAGGCAAAACCTTTGTGGTAACACACACAGTGAACAGCTCAATCATAGTCCCTCAGAATTTTCTCCTATTCCATCTTAAAGTTCATCACTGAAAAATACCAAGTGTCATAATATCACACTACATTTGGAAATGATTACTGGGGTACAACTAGATAGATGGACAGATGAATGGATGCCTGATAGGTAGGTATACAGCCAGAAAATAGACATTAACTGTTTAAATACTAACATTTTCCAAGTCACTTACTCTTGGCAGCCTCCAACTATGCCTATTCTTCCATCTTGTCCTTTGTGCTTCTTTGCAGTTAGTGGAGGTATAATATTTCTAACCAACTGAAAAGTATTTTCCATATCCTTTATTGAATGTGCTTTATGCAGTGAAAATGCTCTTTTTAAAACTGAAATTGAAAAACAGGAAAATTAAATTCCTCAGAATGGTAAATATCTATTGGCATATGCAAAGAACAGAGAGTTAGACAAAACAGCCCATTAACCAAAATACTTCCCCAGGTTGAATCGATATGAATGCTACAGATTTTTGCCCAATGGTTTCACTATTTTATTTCTGTAAGCAAATGATGTTCAGAAATTACAATATGAACATGTGTTGTAGATATCAAGTTTATTTTTTAAATGTTTCAGACATTTTGGAAGTCTACTTAATCTCAGGAAGTTTTTTGTAATGTGTTATTAATTAATAAACCATACACATTTCATTTCAACCTTCCTCTAAATTTATTATGTCTCTTCTCTTACATTGGAAAAGCAATCTCTCATTTGTTACATTCCACTGTCCTATTCATGTCTGACAGATTCATGGTATTCCCCATGTAATTTTCCAGTCACATTTCCAACACTCAGGTAGCTACAAATTAAATAACCTAGAAATGGCATTATAAATACAGAACATGTATCTTACATTGGGCTCAAAGGCATTCTGAATTGTCTCTAAATAGCTAATTTTAATTGGCATTCCTTGAAAACAAGGCCCTCGATATTTCTGTCCTTCCAATGATCTCAGCAGCTGAGAAAACCTAGACATGGGTCACAAGTTCAAGTGAAGTTCAGAAGTGGGCTCAGCTCCACATGGTCAAATAGCTTTACCTTTAATAACACATTTAGTGTTTAGACACCAAGATGTAAAGAGAATATTAATTACTGCCAACCCCAAAACTTTTCACCTTACAAACCAACACAGGATTAAAACTCAAAACAGAATCAGTGTAAACCTTTGGCCAAGAAAAGGCACAACCAGGCACAGGCAAGGGTCAGTACAACTGGCTGGTCCTCTGCTCCCACTGTCTTTCCTCATCAGCCACACTCTGCTCCAGTGGCATGTCCGAGGTATGGCTTCCCACCCTGACTCAGAGCCAGTTGGCAGAGGCCTGGAGCTAAACAGAGCACCCCCACTCTCACTCCCCGCCCCCCTCACACTGAAATTTTCAACTTCCCAAATACTCAGCTGCACCCCAAATTCCAGACTGCAGTCTTTGCCATGCACAGTTACAATGAAATGCTCTTTCCTGGCACTCCCTCACAAGCTGCTTGAAAGGAACCAGGGCTGTTATTAGCAGATTTAATGATGGCATCAATGACTGCTGATGAGCAGTCTATAAGCCAGGGGTATCAAACTCATTTTCACCGGGGGCCACATCAGCCTCGTGGTTGCCTACAAAGGACTGAATGTAATTTTAGGACTGTATAAATGTAACTACTCTTTAACAGTTAAGCGAGAGCTAGGCACTGCTGCCAGGTAGAAACAAGGTGCTGGGCCGGATAAAACAAGGTGGAGGGACGGATTTGGCCCTCAGGTCTTGTGTTTGCCACCTGTGGTCTATGCAGTCATGAAAATGCTTGCCATGCATTTGTCTCAAACTTGAACATATACAAGAATACCAGAGAATGGTCGCTCCTTCAAATTCCCCAGAACAACACAGCTGCTTTTTTAAAAAGGCTAGAAATTGTAAAGATAGATAGAATCCAAACCTACCAGTCACTCGGGGGTTCTTCAGTTATTCTAGGTTCCCTGTGTCTTGGGTTAATTACATACCATCACTTTAATACTAGGCACTTAGCCCCACACAAAATACCCCTAAGACCACCCCACACCTTCTGCCTGCCCAGCAGGAGCTTCAAGGGAGGGTCTCTGTGTTTCCATGTTGTACCCCCATCCTCGATTGCCTCAAACAGAGTCTGGCACAGAATAAGACATTGAATAAATGTTTGGTGAATCAAATGCATTTTGATTCACTCTCTTCATTTGTAGCCAGTTTATCTGTTTTTTTACAAATCAGGAAAATAAGGCCTAGAGACAGACCTGTGAAGATGCCTGTTAGTAGAGAATAAGCTAGGGCAAAAGACATCATTTTATCAAAATGCTGCCATTTTAAGGCAAAAGAGATCATTTTTCTTTAACCAAATATTCACCCCACTAACCAAAACAAAAGTCAAAACCTTCTCAAATGCCTTCTGAAACCATTTAGGAGGCAGGGGAAATCACTGTTGAGGCACAGCATTTTCACTTTTTAACGGGAATGGTATGCACACAAAGTAAAACCCACACTGTTCACCAGCACTCTGTCCTACTCACCTAAGATGAGCACCTGTTGCAGAAAAGGCCAAAGAAAAGGTCAATTAAATTTCCATAAACTTCACAGTGAATCTCAGTTTCAGCTGGCTTACTGACATACACCATGTGGATTCATCCACAGGAATACTTAAATGTAAACATCAAAGGTCTGAAGGATGAAAAGGCCTTAACAAGAGGTGACTTAAAACTTACTCTATTAAGTAACCTTATTTTCATAACAATTCTGAATTTGGAAGAACTGGTAAAACCGGTCTGGTTTTTGTTTGCTTGTTTTAAAGAAATGTGGCTGAGGAAGTATGGAGAATCACAGATTTCTTAAACCTAGGCTGTTTTCTAGAATTACTTGCCACTTACCACTTTCTGTGATACGGATGTTTCTTTGTGCCAAAGGTGCTTTAAATTAATATGAACCATAACTAATTTGGAGCAAAGACAGCAATGCTTAAGTCAACGGAGATGTGCCTTAAAGCTAGGACAGAAGTCAAGGATCTACACCACCTAATAATGAGAACTCAAACAAACAGAGAAATGTTGCTAACTACTCATACTGTATGAATTTAATACAAACAGCTACCAATGAAAAGTCTCAATAAATTGGTCTCCAGAAGCCAGTCTGAGGCTGATGTGATTAAGTGACGTGCATCTGCTGAAAAACCCCTCAATAATCCTCAAAGCATTTGGACCTACCACACTTAAAAGCAAGAAGCCAAAAAATCTTTAGCAATTACTCTCGGCAAGCCTGGCCTGAAAGCTCCGCTGTACTGAAAGGTCCGGCCAGGCACTCCGGGTCGCGTGGTTCTGGGCCTGCCTGGCCCCCACGGCTCACCTCGGCCACCCTCGGCTACCCCCGCCCCCAGCTCCTCGCCGCCGGCGCCCGCACAAGCCGGCGCAGCACAAGCTGCTCGGGGACCCGCGGACCCACCGCAACGCTTCCCGTGCGGACAAGTAGCTGGTGGCCGGGTACCTGCGTCCAGCGGCGGCCCGTAGAGCGCTAGCGCAGCGGAGAGAAGCGCGACAACGGCTGCGCCCGCGGCCACAGCCCCAACCCCCGCGGGACTGGCCATACCCAAGAAGATCCGAACAGATCTTACCTTGCGGGCAGGCCCAGGAGGCTACCCACCCGCGAAGCACAGCCATTGGCGAACTTCCGGGCTTCCGTCCGCCCCCGTGCGGCCGGGGGAGGCAAGGACACCGCACGAAGTTCCGGGATCCGGGAGTCTCGGGGCAGTCGCCGGAAGCCGGCTTCCGGCTTGTAGTTGTCTGGGATCGTCTGATTCATCCCCTGGAGTTCTGCTGGAGGGTAGATTACGGAACCAAGATGCGTCTTAATGGTCTAGGGCCTGGGTTTTTATTTTTCCTTTTTGGGGCAAAAGGCATAATAAAAAATAATTGAGGCAGAAAGCTGCCAATTGACAAAGAGTGCGTGTTACCATTTCAGCAACATGCACGGTGTCTAGAAAGTTAGCTCCAATGGAAAAGCTTTATCTTTTTCTCTATTGTATGTTCAGCATCCAGAACATGACACATGGCACGTGCTCTCTCTCTCTTTGTTGAGGTATAATTTTCATAACAATAAAATTCACTAATTTTAAGTGTACAGTGCTATGAGTTTTAACAAATGTGTATAATCATGTAATCACCACCATAATCTTAATTTAGAACACTTCTATCAATACACCCAAATTATGTTTTTGATGCTATTATGTTTTTAATTTTTTAGTTGTTTATTGCTCATATATGGAAATACTGGGTTGGCAGAAAAGTTTGTTTTTTTCTAAAAGATGGCTCTAGTAGCACTTAGTTGTCTTTAACTTCATTCAAAACAATTTTGTTAGATTGTATTATGACAGCTGTCATATCAGTGTGTATTTAAAAAAATCAAAACAGGTGAATTTTTGCGTAGCCATTTTAATATTGAAGATGGAAGAAAATACACAACCTTTTCAGCATATTATGCTTTATTATTTCAAAAAAGATAGAAACACAATTGAAATGCAGAAAAAGATTTGTGCAGTGTATGAAGAAGGTGCTATGACTGATTGAATGTGTCAAAAGGTGTCAAAAGTGGTTTCCGAAGTTTGGTGCTGGAGATTTCTTGCTGGACGATGCTCCCCAGTGGGGTAAACCAGTTGAAGTTAATAACAATCAAATCAAGACATTAACTGAGAACAATCAACTTTATACCATGCAGGAAATAGCTAACATACTCAAATGCCCAAATCAATAAAGTTATTGGGAAAATGAAAAATGTGTCTTTTATTTTATGAGAAAAAAACACAGACTTATTGGCCAACTCAACACAATTGATTTTTATACATTGACTTTGTATTCTTTAATCATGCCAAATTCACTTATTAGTGAATTTTTTTAAAATACTTGGGATCATCTATATAAGCAATGCCAACTGGCACCATTTTTTTTGGTGACTATAACTTTAACTTTAGTCACTTGTTAAGATGGTATCCACCAGTTTGTTAATTTATCACTTGTATGTACTCATGAATTTTTATTTAGTTACTTATTAGCCACTAGGTTATTTACTTATTACTAATATAAGTAGATTAATTTTAATTTTGTTTTATTCATTTATTTAATTTTATATTAACCCTTTTTATACACATTATGGATTTTTTTGTATTTTTAAGTATATTTTATTGATTATGCTATTACAGTTGTCTCAATTTCCCCCCTTTGCCTCCCTCCACCCGGTACCCCCATTCCTTCCAACAATCCCTGCCCTTAGTTCATGTCCGTGGGTCGTGAATAAGTTCTTTGGCTTCTCCACTTCCTATACTATTCTTAACCTCCCCCTGTCTATTATGTGCCTACCTATTATGCTTCTTATTCCCTGAACCTTATCCCCCCAGTCTCCCCTTCCCCTTCCCCAATGATAATCCTCCATGATCTCCATTTCTGTAATTCTGTTCCTGTTCTAGTTGTTTGCTTAATTTTTTTTTAAATGAACCGTCTAAGTCGTCTAAGATGCAGAATCTTTTTTTTTTTTAAGATTTTTTTTATTTATTTATTTTTAGAGAGGGAAGGGAGGGAGAGAGAGAGAAAAAGAGAAACATCAATGTACGGTTGCCAGGGGTTATAGCCTGCAACCCAGGCATGTACCCTGGCTGGGAATCGAACCTGCGACACTTTGGTTCGCAGCCCGCGCTCAATCCACTGAGCTACACCAGCCAGGGCGTGTTTGCTTAATTTTTAATTTTGTTTTTTAGGTTCAGTTATTGATAGTTAGGAGTTTGTTATAATTTTACTGTTCATATTTTTTTTATCTTTTTCTTAGATAAGTCCCTTTAACATTTTGTATAATAAGGGCTTGGTGATGATGAACTCCTTTAACTTGACCTTATCTGGGAAGCACTTTATCTGTCCTTCCATTCTAAATGATAACTTTGCTGGATAGAGTAATCTTGGATGTAGTTCCTTGCCTTTTAATGACTTTGAATACTTCTTACCAGTCCCTTCTTCCCTGCAAATTTTCTTTTGAGCAATCAGCTGATATGGGAACTCCTTTGTAGGTAACTGTCTCCTTTTCTCTGGCTGCTTTTAAGATTCTCTCTTTATCTTTAACCTTTGGCATTTTAATTATGGTATGTCTTGGTATGTTCCTTATTGGGTCCAACTTGTTTTGACTCTCTGTGCTTCCTGGACTATGTATGTCTATTTCCTTTGCCAAATTAAGGAAGTTTCCTTTCATTATTTTTTAACAAGTTTTCGATTTCTTGTTCTTGCTCTTCTGGTGTCCCTATGATTTGGATGTTGACCCTTTGGCGATGTCCCACAGTCTTCTTAAACTCTTCTCATTTTTTTCAATTCTTGTTTCTTCATATTGTTCTGGTTGAATATGTATTTCTTCCTTATGTTCCCAATTGTTGATTTGAATCCTGGCTTCCTTCCCTTCACTGTTGGTTTCTGTGGATCTTTCTTTATTTCATTTAGTGTAGCTTTTATATCTTCCCTTATGCTTTTGCTGTATTCAGTGAGCTCTCTGAGCATTCTGACCACAAATGTTTCGAACTCTGCCTGATAGGTTGGCTATCTTTGCATCCCTTAGTTCTTTTTCTGGGGTTCTTCATTTGGGCCATATTTCTTTGTGTCCTTAATTTGACAGCCTGTGTGTGTCTGTGTATAGGTAGAGCTGCTTTCATTCCCTGTCTTAGCACACCTGTCTAGTTGTATTGGGTGGAGCCTTGGGTATTCACCAGGGTAGGCAGCCTGCTTCACCGCTTTGTGGCTCCATGTGTGGGGGAGGGGTTGAAGAGGGGACAATGCTGCTGCTGGTTGACTTTTGGGGGCTTGCTTGGTACTTGCCCTGTTTCCAGTCACTTAACCCACTTTCCGTATGTAACTGGCGCCCCTCCAACTGCTGCCCTGGTTGTTGTTCCCAGGGTGGGTGGGTTTGCATACTTCCAGGCTCTCTTGAGAAACTGGCAGTTTCATCCACTGCCTAAACCCCCACTGGTTTTTACAACTAGAAGTTATGAGGCCTTATATTTCCTGGTGCTGGAACCCTGGGCTGCACAAACTGGCCAGGGTCTGGGCTCTGTCGCTCACAAAGTGTCCACCTGATTTTTATCCACTGTTGGGGACCACTTTGTGTTGTATCGGAGACTGTACCCCATGCAAGCAAGGCCTTGAAAGAGGCCTGTAAGACTTGATCAGAAAGCCAGGAATGCAGAAGGCAGGTATGACCCCATACTAACACAGGCTTCCCGAGGGAAATCACTCCTGAAGAATACATTGTATCCTTTGAAGCTGGCTTTGCATTGTATAGCCCTGTTGGTATAAACTAGATCTTTAAGTTCAAAGCATAGGGGAGTGAACTCCTAATCTCATGAACCATGCCTTACCAACCATTTGGAGTCAGCCTCTCTAACAGACCCTGATCTGAGGCAGATATCTGTGTTCCTTCAATTGTTGTCTGTAAATAATACCTGTTTTCTATAGCTGTAGCCTTTTGACATTGATTGATGAGCTATGCATGTATGCTGTATACCCCTACACATACCGATCTCAATAAAAGCCATTTCGAGGAAGGGTATGGCACATTCTCCACTAGAGAAGATCTCCAGCCCTTTTCCCCCAGACAGAGTGTGTCCAGGCCAGCTTATTTCATCAGCTACTGGGAGAACTCCGAGGGATGGGGTTCCCCTTAATCTACCATATGTGAATGTGGGACCTCCTGTTCCTTCGGCTGCCGCTGCTGCCTCACCATCACTGGCTCACTGCCACCACACCCTGTCCTCTCCCCCAGGGCTCCCTGGCTCCGCCCCTCTTGCCTGTCTGTATGAATACAGCTTCTTTAAATCCTTGGTTGTTGGACTTCCATACAGTTCAATTTTCTGGCACTTCTGGGTCTTTTCCATTTTGAAATGAGTTGTGATCCTTCTTATGGTTGTGCAAGAAAGCAAAGTATGTCTGTCTACACCTCCATCTTGACTGGACCCCTTTTTATATTTTAAGTGAAACATTGAAATATTTACATTTCAGTGGGTTGTCTGGGGCCCCCAGCTTTAGAGCCTCCTCTGATCCTTGCAATATTGTGAGACTGCCTTCCTACAGAATGCAAACGTATTTCCTTCTTTGTGTATTCCCCTCAGATTTTGGGGAGGAGGGAAGATATGTGTAAACTAAAAAAGTTGTACAAATTAGTTAAACCCTGAATCTTCCTTATTCAATTATGAAGTTGTGAAGCAAGAGAGTGGGCACTGCCCACCTTGTAGCACTGTGGTGGGAAGAAGTTAAGAGAGGGAATATGCAGCTCATGGGACACTGATCTGCCTCATTGTGTTAGTATGATTTGTTTTCCAAAGTCAGAATGATGGAGGGAAAGATTACCAGTTTGAAACATCTATGCTCATTCCATTTCTTTTAAATCACCTCTGAAATAAGACACATTAGCCCATTTCTCTGGCCAGGTTGGGAGGTGACTGTGGATGAAAAATGGGCCACATAGTAAACCTGACAAGCTCAGGGGAGGCCCGTATGGTGGGCCTTACAAAACCAGAGACCTGAGGTGACCATTTTAGTTTACTTTAGGATAGTCTAAAATTAAAACTTCCTAAATAGGG